GGGAAAACATCGAAACAACTTCAATAAAGCTTATTGTTTCGCAAAGGGGAGTTGTGTGTTATTTATAGCGACAATAAATTAAAAACCTACGTTGAAAACAAAAAATTGTTTGTAGGTGGATAGGTATCTACTTGTCTTTATTAGATCAAAATCAATTTTTTAACTTTCACTCCAATTACCTTCAAAATAACACGCAATCAAATAATAGTCTAGTTGATTTTCACATTAACTCTATAAAAGTGCACTATATAAGAAACATGCAGGTATTTGTTATTAACGACGGTCTGTAATAAATCTGGATAGCATCTAGTATCATTTCTATCGATGTTATTAAAATCGAGAAAGTAAAGTTTATTTATTTATTCATTATTATCATATTTATTGTTATTGTTTCATAAAATGTGAAAACATTAAATAGAAAATTGCCTGAAATTACGATTACCCTTTTAAACTATCCAAATGCTGTGTTTAACGCATACGAGTTTCGCACACCCTGCGTAGGTGCACAGCCCACTCCTGTTTCTGCGGACGCTGATATGTTATCGGTAGACCGCGACCCATCGCAGAGATCCAGACTCACCGCTTCGAAAACTGGTTCTAGGTACCTACTAACCGGAAGTGGACTGGTAATGCAGATAAAAAAAAGGCGGATAGGATTTTTAACCATTGCAATCAATAATATCGATTTTAAGGAACAGTATGTTTGTTCGCTTATAACTTTTTAACCGTTAATTCGATTTCAGTGCGGTTTTCACTGAAATGACCACCGCGAACCAAAGATTGCTTTAATTCAATGTTCGGAAGATGAAATTTTAATATTTCAAACTTTTTATGTAGTTTAAAATTGTGCCAAGTGTTTTTCATTAAAATTTTTTTGTTTCTAGTGAAATACAACCCCCTAGTTACCGCGCGTGTGCTGCGACGTTCATCGTTCAAATTTCATGTTATAGGCAGAGTTCAGTTACAAAGTTCAGTCACTTTCTAGCTCAACCGTGAGGGTTCAGCACAATCCACTTGGCTGATTAAAATTACTTCGCCGACGCCGACGACCGGCGGCTTGGTGAGGACGTCGTGCGTCCTCGGCAAAATTCGCAGTCCAAACACGCTCTAACTGGTTTGGTAAAAAAAATATTTTGTTTTCAATCAGTCCGACGGGATCGAACTCGAAACGTGTTCTCATTCAATTCAATTGTTAGGGAATAATTTTTTCTTTCGAAAATGGCGTGTTCGTGAGTGATATTGTGCGTGAACGTGCGTCTGGTGTGAATATTTTTGTGAATGTTTGTGTTTAATAAAAAGGCTCAATTAACCAACAACAATATCAGTAAATCACCATTTACTGTAGGTAGGTATCAATTAAAATAAATTGTTTCAATGTAATGTGCATAATGTGTGAAAATATGCACCGCTTATGTACGGTTATCTACTTTATATAAGTAAATATGTACATAGATATCGAGTAGGCAAATAGCCTAATGTCCCTCAATTAATTAAAATCGTTAAAAGAATAATTTTTTTATTACTGGGGTTACGAGAAACTCTAATACATCTGGCTCATGTTTGCAGAACACACTTTTGCTTCGTCTAGCATTGCTTAATAGTGCACGTTGCCTTCAAAAACAAAACATCATTCTTATTAGGCTTTTGTGCATTGCATACAGGCGTCTGGCGTTTTTGCCGTTTCTTCGTTATGTTTGTTTCTTGCTTGCAGCACTAACTGGGAAAAGTTTATGTATCTTACCCACTACTTACTACTAGTACAAGAAATGGTTGTTAGGTTAGACACTTTGGTGAAAGAACATTTTAAGAAGTACTTAAATTATCGTGTGCAACAAGTATTGTAATATGAACTAACAATTTTGAGGTGAAGGAGCCCAGTTTTGAAGAAAGTGCTTTAAGTACATGAAAGAGAATTTCAAGTGACTACCTATGTCCTCAACATCCGTTCGTAAATTGCCCCTACATTAATAATGCAGTAAAGATATTTTCCTAATAAATGTCTCTTTATTTATTTTATTTTATTAAAAAATTGCATCTCTCTCACGTACATGTACTATCTACATGATATTGTGCACAATGAAGAACTTACTTTTTAATTTTCTTAAAGAAGAATAGTATCAGTAAACGTGTAGTTTAACATATACCAAAATTGGGTCAAAAGATAAGCATTTTACCTACGTGTATAATGCACACTGGTTTATGTAAGAATATTTTATTCCTTTCAAAAGAATTATTTAAAATTTAATTATTTCATAACACATATTTGAATGTTTTTTTTTTGCGGGTTCATTTAGAATTTGTTTTACGATTAGCAAAACGTATACTGTGTATTTTATCTGAAAATTTGGTAACATAGGTATAATTTAACACAAAGGTTCTATAAATAACGTATGAATCCAGGTATTATTCAGTTTATCATTCCTATGAATTATTTCTAATGATAAAGTCATTCGACAGATTGTGATTCATGGAAATTGCATCCATGTATTTTTCATTTAAATACCTGTTCGTGGTTTTCAAGGGCGACTCGTAAATTAGGCGATAAGTATATCTGTTTAACCAATTTCTTCAATTACCCATTGAAACGAAAAAGCAAAAAAAATTTTACGTGAAATTCTACCGATTAATCTTTTTAATCTAATGTGTATCGTAGTAATGGATTCTTACGTTTTTGTTATTATAAAACCCCCAGTAAGTAATGTTTTATTCCAACTATGTAGTACTAATAAAAAAATAAAACTTACTAAATTACCTCGTTACAATTTTTAACTGAAAGTCACCAATCTTGGTGAGAAGATGATAGAGGATTTCCTGATTGGATGAAGTGACATGTCCCAAGTGTTACGGAGTGAAAGGTTTCTCTGTGGTAGACTTCGCATTAAGGGCTTAAGTTAGGCAAGGGCATTGAGGATAAAAGAAATTTTTGATGTTTCATTCCCATTAGCCACCAATGGTGTTTGACGGACTATTCCTTCGGGTGGTAAGGCGGAAGGCCTTCTTTTGGAAATCGTAGGAATGGGAGAGTGGTGGTCAGGATGAGAAAGATGAGACGGACGAAATGAAGACAGAAGAGAGTGAAAGAATTGCCCCAGAATTTGCCCTAAGTGATCTCAAAAATCCGCAGAAAAACTTGGGCTAGAATAGACAGACCCATAATCGACCCGGTCTTCTCCGAATGTTAAGCAACCGTCTGAACCTGGAGACTGTAGGTACCGCTTGGTAAATTAGGACTACTTCAACCAATACTCTATGTATACATGGAGTTCTAAATTGTCTAGAACCACGGTTATTATAGGTAGTTTGTCATGCAGGTAAAAACAGCGTTAAATGTTCGACCCCTACCAGTTTTCAGAACGAAATATTCATCACCTGCTTAACCCATCTATTGAACTGCATTCGATGCTGCACAACCGATAATGTAGTACGTACATTATTTATCGTTTATGTAGCTATTTAGCGATAATTAAAATTAAATAGAATTTCCCTCAGGGTTATTAACGTTTCAAATTTATTATCTTTGTGTGAAACAATGCTCGGGTACATATTTTACCTGTTAGTTGTCAAACTTAAATTGAAATTAATGTGCACATTTTCTTTGAATCTGAATTAAGCTAGGTTGATAAGAATTGATTTATCTAATTATTAGGTAGTAGTTGTGTCATGGTTGCTTTTACTTTCTACATCATTCAAGCTTTACGTGAACTCTCTGGTGTTGTAGCTTTTTTTAAACAAAAAATTATTTAAAAAGGCGGTTTGTGGAAATGAACTAATTTAAATGTGGTTGTGAGAATTCTAAATAAACATTCAAATACGTGTTTCGACACCCTAGGTGACATCCTCAATTAAAGACTAAGAACTAAAATAAGAAAGGCCTAAAATGATGATTGTGATGGACGCTTCCGCTTACGAAACGCGGCGTAAAATGATCAGTAACTGTAGCTTACGTCCTCTCTCAAGTAAAAATTCTAGAATTATAGCTTCACTTACGCAATGAAATTCTTTAGATCAGTTTACCGTCATTTTACACCAATTTTTATCAAATCATAATAAATATTTCCACTATCTTTGAAGTATATTATGGTAGTTATCAAAGTGAATAGTTGTTTGAATTTAACATATAACGATGCAGAATTATAGCGCCGCAAATTTTTTATTTATTTTAAAGCGACTTGGGTAAATGTCTAGATGATGGCCGAAGGGGGTGGGCGTGGGTGAGATCGAAAGAGGAGGTCTCCCCCACCACTGTACCATAAAAAGTTCGTGGCGGTCTCAACCCCATAAAAAGTTATGGGGGTTGAATGTTGATTATTTTGACAATTTTCATACACTATAATTCAAATAAAATTCAATAAATAAATTATTTTCAAGCGGGTGGAGGTGGGGGATCGAAAGAGGGTGGTCACTTGAACAAAACCCGATAACCTAACCTAACCTACCCTATTGATAAAGATATTTAAATAATGTTTTATATAACTTTCTCAATATTGTTTAAGAATGACTATATAAATATTTACATGCCTAGAAATGTATAAAAATTGGCATATTTATTAACTTTGAACCCCCATAACTTTTTATGGGGGTGAGACCGCCACGAACTTTTTATGGTACAGTGGTGGGGGAGACCTCCTCTTTCGATCCCCCCACCACCACTCCCAAAAGGCCATCATCTAGACCTTTACCGCGACTTGAATTAATTTGTTGTAATTGCCCTTTAAATACTGTTCAACTTTAATAGGTTATTAACTGTAAAAGCATTTTGATGAAAAATACCATTATAGAAAGCAAAGAAACATTTTTATTATCAATTATTAGAAATTTCACTAAAACTGTAGATACTAATTTATCGAAATCCCAGATATGAAAATTGATTTTGAACTTAATAGTTCTCATAGCACACCATAGGCACTTTCGGTAATTCGCCAACCAAACCGAAGTTGCTGGGAGTAGCTAGAAGTACATCGTCATCTGTCGATGTTTATAGCTAACCTAGTATTTTAAAGTGCTTGAGCATATCCTTGCCAAACTGAACCTACGAAATTACTAACAGACATGATAGGCAGCATTAAACTGCAATCCATATCAAGTCGTTCCCATAAATTGCACACCAAGAACGTGGTGTTCGTTTTTTAAATGGTTTATGTTCTTTTAAGCTGTTGCAAGTTTCTTACATTCAAACTGAGGTTGTAAGGCAAAAGCTAGCAGTCAACTATTGCCAGTTATATGAAAATGAAAGTAACTCATCTTGTCTGAATAATACTCGATATTTCGGGCTTGATTCTCCTTCTGCGTATAAACATCACCATTGGTGTTTTTAAGGAAACTGAGCGGCATGACCTAGAGGTTTAGGCCATTGATTAGCATTCGAGAGGATACCAATCCTGGTCCAAGCTTTCTGTAGTTTCCTTAGATCATTTAGACAAATGCTGGGACAGTAATATTCCATAGATTATCTTTCAATCTCTTCTATCTTCATTTCGTCCATCTCGTCTTTCTTACCCTAGCAACCATCCACCCATTTTTCCTAAAAGGACGGGAATTCTGACTTACCCTCCGACGTAGTCCGTAGGGAATGTCCGCCCACCAGCTTTAGTAGCTGGTAGGAATGAAACACTTAAAAGTTTTAGTTTTTTATCTCAACATCAACAACGGTCGAGAAAATCGTAGCTTCTTGATCTCGTCATGCTGATATTTATATCTTATTTTACATGTAACGAAAAAATGAGCTTATTACAGCTTACACCAGATATCCATAAAGCAGGTACTTATTTTTGTGTCTCGTTTACGAAATGTGATCTTGCACGTACTGAAGTTTAATAATTTTGATCCCCCGCAACCGTTCTTTCGACTGTTGATAATGAACTGTGAAAGGTTTTTTTTGCTAACAAAGAGCGAGGGTCGCCCCCGATAAACGAATCTCAAGAGCAAGGGTAAATGCAGTTCGAAGTAAACAACTTTTGACAACAGCAGATACGACAGATGGAAACGTGAATCAAGAAGGAATGAGCAGAGGAGATGTGCAAGTCTGACCAGCGTACATTCTCTGGTGGCTATTTGCTTATTTGTTCACTTCTAATATTTTGTACCATAAGCATTGGAAGATACTGTTGTCTTCATTGCCTTCTGGTTGCGAACAACAACTTTAGCAAAAAGAAATAATCTGTGTGAAAATACTGGATCAATATCCACCGATAATAAAATTAAAAGACCTGCTTATCTAAACAAGAAATAAATTGCCAAAAAAATAGTATCTAGCAGTCACTGTTGACAATCCGGCGTAGGCGCATTAGCAGTAGTCCAGCTGCTACAAAGGTCCCTGCAAGGGTATTTTAACACCATATGTAATTG